GTTTGATGAACTATTTCATCACCTCAATAAGAAACTCTATTCCTATTATCCGTCAATCACCATTCCTCCTGACTTCATTGGTCCCTGGGAGCCACCAGTGCACTCTTTGACATAGATTTGCCTCTTCCGGACTTGAGTATATGGGATTGTGAACTGTATGTTCTCCATGGTGGGTGGCTTTGGCTTGTGCTTGGTGGAATGTTTCCAAGGGTCATGCTTATTAGGCCATGTTTCATCACTCCTTTCTGTTGACTGACATTCCATTGATTAGATAATCCATATTTTATTTGTCCACTGATCACTGATGGGCATTTAGGTTGTTTCTGCTTTGGCTGTTATGAAAATGATGCTGTGAACATTTGTGTACAATTGTGTGTGTGTGTGTGTTTTGCTGGGGATTGAAGCCAGGACCTTGTGCATGCTAGCCAAGCGCTCTACTGAGCTACCTCAGCAGGCCCTGTGTACAGGTTTTTGTGTGAATGTATGTGTGAAGTACCTAGGAATGGAATTGCTGGATCATATGTATATGAACTCTGTACTTAACTTCTGAGAAACTGCCAGACTGTTTGACAAAGTGGCTGCTTAGCACTTCGCTTTTGATGAAGCTGGCTTTGAACTCACGATCCTCCTGCCTCAGCCTCCCAAGCTACTGGGATTACAGGCATGAACCACCACACCCAGCTTAATACTTTACTCTTTTTTAAAAGAATTTTTGTAATTATAGATGGACAGCATGACTTTATTTTTATTTGTTTTTTGTTATGTTGTGCTAAGGAAAACCTGGTGCCTCACACATGCTAGGCAAGTGCTCTGTCACTAAGCTATGGCCCCAGCCCGAATGCTTTTACTTCTTATTGTATTAATTTTCTGGAGCCTTTTTTGTTCTGGAGTTTTAACCCCCCTAAGCAGGGCTATTGTTTTTTTATTTGCGACAGGTCTTCCTATGTTGCTAAGGCTGACTTTGATCTTTAGATCCTCCTGACTCACTCAGCCTCCCTAATGCTGGGAGTACAGGTGTCACCACATTGGACTCTGGGGTATCTTTGTTTCTTACTTTTTTTTGTACTAGGGATTGAACTCAGGGGCAGTAAAGCACTGAGTCATATCCCCAGCCCTATTTTGTATTTTATTTAGGGAGATGCTCGTCACAACACCATTGCTGTGGCTAGCTTTGAACTCATGATCCTCCTGCCTCAGCCTCTCGAGCTGCTGGGATTACAGGTGTGGTGCCACAACACCCATCTCTGGAGTATCTTTCTTATTTCAATGCAGTTGCATTTTCCCACAATGATTTAACTTTATAATTCTTATTCCCTTTTACAGAGGTTTGGAATTTTCATATAGCTACATTTATCTTCCTTTTTTGGTCTTCTAGGTTTTTTAGATATTTTCTTATTTCATTCTTAGAAAGACCTGAATCTGAAATAGGTATATGGCTAGGTAGATTGATTACTATTTTCTACCTTGCTAGTGGTTATCTCAGCCCTATTTTTTGACTTTATTTTTACTAATAAGAAACACTACCTTGATATAAATCTTGTTTGGGCCTAGCAATCACTTATATTTAAAAAAAATATTGAGTAGTTTTTTTCCTAATGACAGGGAGAGTCAGTAAACAAATATTACTGAGGTGGTATTTTTGTGGGGTTTTTTGTTTTGTTTTGTTCTGTTTTGTTTTGGTCCTGGGAATTGAATTTGACCACTAAGCCACATCTCCAGATCTATTATTATTTTTTTTTTATTTAGAAATATGGTGTCAAAAGTTGTTTAGTGCCTCACTGTTGCTGAGGCTGGCTTTGAACTCACAATCCTCCTATCTCAGCTTCCCGAGCTGCTGGGATTACAGGTGTGTACCACTGTACTTGGCTCTGATTGGTTTTCTTCTATTTCCTTTGTTTTCATATCTTTAGGAGGCTTCCTAGTCTGAATTAGAGTACCTAATTCAGATTGCCAGGAGTGGGTTGATGGGCAGGTTAACAGGATCCACAGTTCTGTCTGGGTTCATTGATGTGGGGTTAAGAACTGTAGGGTAGATTCCTGATTGCAGTTTACTGCTGATTTGGAGGACAGAAAAAGTTGTCAGTAAGCAGCTGGTCATGTGTATAGTGGTGTCATATACTGGGATAACAAAATGTTAACTTATATAGGACATAAGTTTACTAATTTTGTGGCATATAGGAAAAATTAAGCATGGAAAAGGGAGAGAAATTACTGTAGGGTAGAATTGAGACCAGGAGAATAGTCACATATCTGTCATATTTTTTTAAAGCTAGTTTAAGTAGAATTCTTACCATAGTCTAAGGTTTTGGTATACTGAAATGCTTTGCTGTTTCAGGTTTTGTGAAATGTACAAACTATGCAATTCAAATTTCTCTATACACTGGCACCCTATCTTCATTTGCTAGTGTATTTTAGCTATTAGATATATAATTAGCTTTGGTAGCACTAAAAGAATTCATCTTTGACTGGTATTGACTTGTAGGTGAGAATATACAAATGTGTGCTGAGATGATTCATTGCCAGGATTGGGAACAGAATCTTGTGTCAAGTTATATGCTTTCAGAAGGGGATCAAAAAAGATTACAGAGTTTTCCTTAAATGTTGTGCATACATGAGGAGTGTCCCTAGGGTATGTCCTTAATTTCTCAGATATCCCCTTTAGGACTGACTGGACAGTGGCCCAGAACACACTATTCAACAAGATCCTCAAAGCCCTGCAGTCTGACCAACTTGCCCGCTTGGCCAACGAAAGGGTAAGAAATCAGAAATCTGCCAATGTGGGCTCTTCTTAGTTCAGGCCTCTATGACTGACTGATTTCTACCTACCTCCTATTTGCTAACTATGTGGAACTGTTGTTCCTTCTTCTTGTATTTTTCAGGCTTGTAATGAGCCAGTGCTGCATCATGTAGCTGTGGACAAGTGTGCAAGGTGGGTGCGGCAGGCCCTGGCCAGTGAGAGTTGGGACACCAAGATGATCCAGTGGCTGCACACGACCCTGATGGAGACCTTGAGTCTGCCCATGCTGGCTGCCTACATGGATGCTTTGCAGACACTGAAAGGGAAGGTAAGGCTATGGTTGGTGTCTGCCCTGTGCTGGGGGCCACCAGTCCCTGTGATGCATTCAGACATGGGGTTAGGTAAAGTCTTTACGTGGTCAGTTTGGAGGGCATGGCTAGCAGGTATGCTAATAAAAATAGGAGACAAGGTCTTGTTTTTACATTTGATCTGGTGTAATGTCTTTGTGCCGTCTCCATAATGAGGTGCAGGGCCTGAAATCCAGAGGACTCATGGCCTGACAGCCCCTGGCTTATGTCATTACTGGATTTTATTTTCCTACTCCCTCTGAAGTCTAACAACCTCCATCAGACCTTGATACTTTTCATTCTCCAATCTTTTTTTTTTTTTTGAGCATGAAAATAAATCTTTATTTTCAGTTATTACCCACGAATAAGAGAAAGTTAGGTTCACAGTTTTAGCTATTGACACAAAGTGAACTAGGAGGCAAATTCACATCCATCAGATACAACTAATGGATCAACTTTTTCAAGTTTAGGCTATCTTGAAAGCTTGCAACATACCAGATATTGCTGTGTGTTCTCTAGTGACAATGGCTGACAGCAAATGGAACTTGAAGTGTTTTTGAATAACAGATGTTTTCTATAATATGTTGCTGGAATTCAAGAGATTTACATGTTCAGAAAAGAGTTGAATCCTTAAAGTCTAAACACACTGATTTAAGAGTGTGTATGTTGCAATTTCAAAAGGAGTCAATAATCCATATGGACTAAATTAATACTTGCCTCTGGGTAGCAGGCCTTTTTGTAAATATAAAATTATATTAGACATTAGCACCAGGGCAGAACATGCTCAGCATCATAAGATCCAAAACACCAGCACAAGTTTATCCATCACTAAAAAACAATTACCTCTTACTAAGATGTCAAGACTAGTAGGTAGATTGATACATCCAATCCAAACGAATAACTTTTGTACTGTACAATCTTTTTTTCAGAAGTATAAGTGAAAACCAATCAACTACATAGCAGACATGTTAAATTTAAAATCTCCAATATTTTAAAAACTGGATCTTACCAGAGGTAGAAAATAACTGACAAGTGACAGAAGTTAAAACTTTAAATAAAATTCCTTCCCTGTTTAATCAATAAATGTGGCAGAATTAAAAAAAATATCCTACACAACCTGTTTATTGATCATTCTATCCATGTGTTTAGTAAGTGGTAATGCTCCTGTTCAAGGAATCCATTAATTACCTAATTTTCTAATAAAGGAAGAGGGAAAAGATATTTATCACCTTCTCTGGAACAAATATTCATCTATCATTTTAAGACCAAATAGTAACAATATAGGAAATCATTAACAGTTAAAGATTTTTGGCTTATGTTTTATGGATGGTGCTGCTGTTCCAACCTTATAAAGTAAAGCTGTCTGCTTTCCAAATTTCAAAAATTGAAGACTCTCCCCATCTCACCACACTAACCAGTGCCCTTTGGTTTCTTCAGAACAAGAAAGGTTAAAAGGGTTGTTGATTACAGATGTAACATTCTGATTTGGGGACCTATCAAACAAAAATCATAGCAAGTGCCAGACACTTATTTTACAGAAATCTAAACATTACCCATTAGAGCAAATCAACTTATTCCACTCACCCTGTTGGAGGGGGTAGAAATCCTATATCCATAACACTTGACAGGATGTGTTTATCAACACTAAGTAGCTCAAACAACTTCCACAAATAAAGTGTCTAGCTTGGCTTTTAAAATGGGAAAGTCACGTATTTCGAAAGTAAATATAGTTGAAATTGTGAATCGGGTATAATTTGAACCTAATGAACCATGCAGGAAGCAAGGGTTAATAAACCAATGTGCTTTGAATTTGTTCAAGTACTGATATTTCTGTATATAAAGATTTAGCATATATAACAGCTATTATGAGAAGTGAAAAAAGATTTTTCCCCAAAAATGAAAATATTAAAACTAAGTTAAAATACATAAAGTAGTTAGTATTCCACACAGCATAAAATTCGACAAATCAAAGTTTACATGTCCCAGCTGACCATGTGTGAAAATGCAAAGCAGGTATTAAAACTGATTTTATGTCGAATATTTAAAACCAGTTTGTAATTGGGGGAACATCTAAATCCTTAATTAAAAAACACAAATGAAGTGAAAGCTTTAAACTGGTACACACTGTTCACACCTATATTTCAAGTTTGGAAATGCATATTTGCAAGCAGCAATACAAAAGTATTCATGAAGAATGCATAATCTCTGAAAATTATGAAAACATCCCTGCTACCAATACATTTCTAAATACAAAACTGACTACCATATTTGTTACTTCTGTGTAGCAAGAGAAGTTCATTTTTCAAAACAGATAAAATTCAGTCTTTAGGTGTGAATGGTATGAATGACAGTCTTTTTTTTTTTTTTTTTTAAATTTCTTAGTCGTTTGGGATCCTTAAGCATGCAAAAGCTTTGAACAGGAGGGTCCACAAAGGAACCAGGGTTGTCTTATGGCATCCAGTTAAGCCAGAGCTGGGAATGCCTCTGGGTCATCCACATCAGGGGCAGAAGCACTCGACTTGTCAGTTCTGCTGCCACGGTTTGGGCGTCCACCACGCCCACGCCCACCTCGTCCTCCCCTGCCACCACGTCCTGGGCGGCCTAGATCTCCAAAATTGATCTCCAGCTGAGATGTTATGTCATTTGCTGGCTTCCGGAAATGATGGTCCATAACCGAATCTTCAGCGTGAGCCTCTTCACTCTTTGATTTATGAAGAACAAATCCCTTCTTCCATTGCCCATCAGCACCTTCATTTGGTTTTCGGATATTAAATTCTACTTTTGCACGGTCTTTATTTTGAATAGCCTTCCATTCATCCAAAGTCATCTCTTTTGGACCCTCTTCCTTAACTTCTTCAACTTCGTTTTCCTTATTTTCAGTATCTGCCACTGGATGTTCTTCACCTTCAGGTGTTTCCTCAGTCGCATTTGATTGATCCAAGTCACTGCAATTATAAGATATTTGTTTCTGAATGTATTTGGGGGACTCTGTTAATTCATCTTTGACAGTTCCCCAGTTGTGAGATCCGCTACCTCCACGTTTATCCTCATGCTTCAGGCCACTGTAATGTGAAAAAGAAGATCTATCACTTCCACTATGCCTATCAAATTCACGTTTGCCACGAGAATCAAATCCATCTCCTCGACCCATTCGACGTCCGCGGCCTCCTCGACCCCTTCCAAGACCACCACGACCTCGGATGGGTTGGTCAATAATTGGTCTATCAACTGAAAATTCGCCTCCTTCACCCTTTTCTTCAAGTGGTTTGTCAAATCTCCTTTCACGAGGCGGTCGCCTTTCTGGTCTTCTATCAATTATTTTCCCTTCACCCTGAAGTTGTTGATCAGGTCTTCTTCCAACACGTCTTATTCCTTCTTTCTTAAGAGCCACGGGCGGCTGCGTCTCCTCTTTCTTGTCAGCCACGCCAACGTTGGGGGGCAGCGGGTTCTTGCGGTCTTTCTGGGACTCTTTACGCAGCTGTTTGCCTGCCGCGTTGGAGTTGGTCTGGGCCGCGGCCTGAGCTGCGCTCTTGGCCCCAGGTCCCCCAACGCCGCCCCCGCCGGCTTCTTTTTTCTTGTTCTCTGCAGCTTTCAGCACCTCGAAGGGGTCCGATTCATCATCAAATAACTGGTCCAATCGGTTGGTGACCACGCAGCTGAAGCCTTCCTGTAGGTGCCCAGGCATGATGGTGGCTCGGCGGCGCGTTCCTCCACGGATTGCAGCGGGCCGCGCCGAGCCAAGAGCGCCTGCTTCAGCTCTTCCCACAAGATGGCCGGGCAGAGAGACTCATTCTCCAATCTTTAAAAACCTTTTTTCTTTCTTTCTGAAAAGGATCTCTAACATGTAAAAACCTTTTCCTTTCCCTGAGATCACTTTGACCTCTGTGGGCAGTGTGGAATTCACACAGATACTCATTTGGAGTGTAAGCATCAGCGTATTTGAAACTCATATTTATACATCTGCGAGGTCACATCTTTGGTGGACAGTAAAAGAACAGGACATGGTATAATTCATGATATATACACTATTGTTGGATATGTTTTTAGAACATAATAGTAGGCTTCATTAACAAGCCACACTTGAAGGCTGTACTTTAGAAGAAAATGCAGGGTTTATTTAAATTTTCTTATTTATATAAGGATACAATTTCTTTATTTTGTTTATTTGTTTTTATGGAGTCCTCAGGATTGAACCCAGGGCCTCATATGTGCAAGGCAAGTGCTATGCCACTGAGCCAAAATACCAGCCCAGAAAAAGCAATTTAAAAAAAATTATATATATATATATATATATATATATATATATATATATATATTAGCAGATAGTCACTAGAAATTTTAGAAAATGCAGAAATACATAAGGAAAAAGTCATGCATAGTTCCACAGGAATTCTATGAACATTTGGCATGTTCATATCATCATACAGCCTTTTATATAGTGCTGTATATATTTTGTTTTATATATTTTGTTTTACATGTAGAATTTTAGCAAAATTCTTTTGTTCCTTGCTTTCTCTGTCTCTTTCTGTCTCTTTCTGTCTCTCAGTACTAGGGATTGAACCAAAGGATGCTGTATCACTGACCTGCATTTTATTTATTTACATTTTGAGACAGAGTCTCACAGCTCAGGCTGGCCTCAAACTTATCATCCTTCACATCACTGTGATTGCAGCATGGCCACCATGCCTGGTGCTAATTATTTCTGTGGGTTGTATATTGTCTAGTATGTATTTGGAATTAACCCATGGTGGGCATGGTGGTACACACATGTAATCCCAGCAGCTTGGGAGGCTGAAAAAGGAGGATTGTGAGTTCAAAGCCAGCCTCAAGCAACTATTGAGGCTTCAAGTAACTTCAGTAAGACAATATAAAAATAAAAAATAAAAATTGGTGATGTGTTTCTGTCTTTATGCATCCCTGAGTTCAATCAATGGTACCAAAAAATAGAAAATAATCCTAGATATTCAGTCAGGTGGATAAATTATTTAACTGCTCCCTAACAGATACCTTTAGATTGTTTATGTATTTTGATTGTTATTAACAGATAATATGTCACTGGGTATAGATTATTTTTGATATAATTTCTTGTTTTGGAACCAGGAATTGAACCAAGGGACACTTAACCACTGAGCCACATCAGGCCTTTTTAAATTTTTGAGACAGGTTCTCCTTGCTCAGTTGCTTAGGGCCTCACTCATTTGCTGAGGCTGGTTTGAACTCGCAATCCTCCTGCCTCTACCTCTCAAGGTGCTGGGAATACAGGTGTGTTCCACCATACCTGGATTGATATAATTCCTTTTAGAAGGTTCTCTAGTGAAATCGTTTGGTACAGTGATGGGGATAAACTTAGGATCCAGATGCATTTCACCAGATTGATTTCAAAAGGAGCATACACACTGTCCTTGCATGCTGGGGGCTTTTTCATGCAGCCACTTATTTGTACCTTTGCTACACACTGAAGCATCTCAAACTTTGTCTTTCTAGATCCCAACCTTGATTGACCGCATGCTTGTGTCACTCAACACAAAGACTGGGGCCAAAGGAACTGAGGCCTTGTCGCTGCTGCTGAAAAGGCCCTGGGACCCTGCTGCAGGGGTGCTTCTTCATGACAAGCCAGTAAGTTGAGGGGCTCAGGCTTAAGTGTGGCAGTGAGATGTTCTGACTCGTAGCCTGTAGCCCTGGCTGGAGGAAGGTGTAACCTTTTCCATTAGCCACTTGTTTATTAGTGCCTAACATAGTTCTGTAAGCAATGGGTCATGGGTTGGGTGAGCAGCCATAAAAGCCACTCCTGATGGTTGCAGATGAGCCTCTCACTCACCAGGTGGGATTTTCTCTTTGCAGAGGAAACTCCCTGGCTTTCCTGATTTTTATCACCTCCTCAGGCCCCTCTAACTCTGCATTCCCCACCTCACGCGGCCACGGCTTCTGGAAATCTCAGCTGTGCTGCTTAGGCAAGGTTTGTTGGGGGCAAGAGGATGTCTCCACATGGGAATAAGATCTAGGAGGATGGAAGAGAAGAAACACAGGAGGGTGTAAAAATGGATGAACATGAAATGTAGAGCATCCCATGACTCTTAATTGGTGTTCAGATACCACTTGCTGCAAGGTTGAGGGATTCAGAGTAGGTTAAGTAGAATGGAGAGATTTGAACCTAGCACTTTGGCATGGCACCCTTCCTTCCTTTAGGTCATCCCTATCGCCACCCATCTGCCAAAAAATGGCAGTGGAGTGGGCCTTCTGCAGTGTCTTGAGCATATTATCAGGGCAGTGAGAAGCAAAGTTTTGGAGGTGAGAATGACCCTGTCTTGGGCGACCCTGGCACACCCCTGGTGACCCTGGTACACCCAGTGTGCTGGGGTGTTTATTCCTGTCTGCAGCCTCCTTCTGAC